TTCTCTTCTCTTCTCTTCTCTTCTCTTCTCTACTCTTCTCTTCTTTTCTTTTCATCATTTAGCTCACCCGTCTGGCTATCCCTGTACCAATTGTACACGAATCTCATATTTCGGTATATTTTTTTATTGTCTTGCAGTCAACAGCACATTAAAGGAAAGCTTTGAACTTCCTGTTAAAGTATTCGCTGATTCAGCCATTGATTAAGCCCCAAACACATCACTACTACTCACTGTTTCCTACTCTGCGGTCCTATCTGTGTAAATGGACAAATTGCGTTGTTGTACTTGTGTTCGTGTTCTAATTTAAAAGTCCTTTACTAAAAGACAGTCTTATTAAAATAATGATTATTTGAACTCTTGAAGGAATGGAGTGCTTCAGAAAACGTGAATCAAGAACGAATACAAAACAAAACAAAAAAGCCATTAAATACATGTACATCAGGTCAAAAACGTTTCTTGCTTCTGTGGTCTTTCTTCTTTATTGGACTTAGATTAACTCGAACACTCAACAGTAATATTCACTTTCGCCATTATTTCCTATAAAAGTTTCTAAGCGCTTTGGAATGTATCCGTAAAAAATGGTGCGCTAAAAAATGAATCAGCTGCTAGTTCGGGCATCTGTGTTTTTGTATTTTGAGGCGGGAAATGACGTTAATTAAACCAATATTCATATGGTTTTTTAAAATTCTGATGAAGTATACGAAAGGCCTTTTCGAACTTTTTCTAGTTGAAGAACTTATTTCGTTCATTAATAAAATTAAAATATAGAAAATAATGAAAACATAGAGCTGACATAGGGCCATTATGTTTAGTGGAAGATGTGCGCAAGGTTTCATCGTCCTCTGCTCTTGATAAAATCATTATTGTTATTAATTGTTTCCTTCTAGTGACGTCATAATTACCGTCAGAATTAGTATCACTATGACGTCATCATTTTGAGAATCAATGATGCCCTTTTGTTTCATTTCTGTCGTCATAATAATACATAATGGCATTGTGATGTCATCAGTACGCATGATAATCGATGAGGTCGTAGTTTGGTTGTAGATTTGTGACGTCACATAATTACGCATAATGGCACCGTATGTCATCAGTACGCATGATAATGGATGAGGTCGTAGTTTGGTTGACTTGTGACGTCACATAATTACTCAAAGTGGCACTGTGATGTCAGCATTATAAGGACATTGTCAGTTTGTAAATTTGTGACAATGCTTTGGTACTGACACATCGGTAAAGAGCTCTCTCCAGCTCTTGAAATAATTTGTAGATGACATTTGAATAGGCCCTTTGCAGTTAACGGTCACGTGTCTGTACTGGTGAGCAACATTTATTTATTTATTTTAAATTGGAGATTCTTTATAGCTACTCGTAAAGAACTGAATGAAACGATCTGTAACCAGTGTGTTACGAAATGCAGTTTTATTACGATCTCTCGAAACAGGTTGTAGAAATTTTGTTTGCTCTCCAGTATATTTCACCCATGGGAATCAAGATGTTCATTCATTTGCTCTCAGTGAATTAATCAGCACGTGATTACTGAGCTGCAAAGAGCCTGGAACTCAAAATTCAGGTAATAGGGACCTCAAGCTGCAGGACGGCAACGTGGGCGACAACGTGGGCAAAATTGAGGCGCTCCAACATTCTATTGTTTTATTATTTCGTGTTTACCTAGTATTTTACTCAATAAGCACCCCCGTTTTAGAGTGAAATGTCGTCTTTTGGGAGCGCTTTACTTATAAGGAAATCAGCAAAGATAAGCTTTTGGCATAGCCGTTCTCTTTAGTACGTAAAATTAGGACATTTCACGTCTTACTTTCAGCATAAGACGGCAATGATGCACAGTATTTCGTACATTCCAACGAGTATCTATTGAATAGTGCAGTTAGTGCTATTTTATGTTTGCCGTCGACGTCGTCGTCGTTGCCGTCCTTCAGCTTAAGGTCCCTAATATTGCTATTTGTGGAACCCGGGGTAACTATAGCTTTGCGGTGTTTGCATAACATATGTCAAAATAAGACGAGGGTAATTATCGAAAAAATATCAGTTGTTTTTTTCAAGTCTTTGTGTTCGTAAACTGCATAATCAGTTCTGCAACACTAGCTAAAAGCCAACTCAGGAAATTTTTTAATTTAATTTTATTTTATTTTTGATTCAGAAAAGCTGTGCAGTTCATTAGGAGTTTCTCAGAAATCTGTCAGTTCTTTTTCTTATACGAAATGCGTTCTATTTTTTTAAACACGTCACGTCTTGTTGAACAAACACCGAATTTTGATGACGCATATACTGAGTACGCGCGTGTGTAATGCCGCGAGCTCTAGTGACAAACTTGAATACGCGCGCGCGTGCTGTTTGCTAATGAAAACCAATCAGGAAGCGAGATTTACAACGTCGAGATATTTCCTTTGATTCACAACGGTTATTTCGCAAATCAAATGTTATTCGCTTGTTTCAGGAATCAGCTTAGCAATGGATTCCCATATTCTTGCAAGATTCAATGCTTTTGAATCAGGTAGCATTGCAAGATACAACGCCTTTAGGAAGGATGTCACAGAGAGGTTCTACAACATGACGATTGTAGCATCCATCTTTAGTGTAATGGAGTCCCACCCATTCTTAGATCAAGCCATCCGTCTTCTTGCTGCTGTCTCTTGGTACATACTAGTCTTGAGCATGGTTCCAGTTATGTTGCTGCTTCTCTTCCTGTTCTGTGGTCTCATTGCCGTCTTGTTTAGTTCGACATGCTTCATCCTAATCATCTTCTCTCCTTGGCTCCTTCCATTTGGTAGTGCATTTCTCATTCTTATTTCTATTTACGTTTTATTTAGAATAGCCAGAACAGTTTTTGTCAAGGTATATAAAACTATACAAGAGCCTTTATCGTTACAAGCTCATTATATCATCGATTCAACACCTGCTTGTATTCCAGTCGTACGACTATGGCGAAGCTGCCTGCGCAACGGTTTTATTCAAACGTTTGTTTCCTGTGGATCGAGAACTGCACTTTATGTTCCTGAGAGGTCGATTGTTGTTCTACAACACCTTGCTAACCAGCCCGGACTATGTACAACTTTTATCCAAGATGTTATTACCTTAATCCTGACTCCATTAGCTCTCTTGGTGAAATTAGGGATACTTTTCTTCTACCCGTTTGTCACTGCTTGGAGAAAAGTCAGAACAACTCTAAGAAGATTTTTCTCAGTTTTGACAACCTTTGTCAAACTTTATATTTGTGCAAACGTTAAGATTATTTGCTCTCGACTTTCTAGCTTCCTATGGTCAATTTTAATGGTTTTTCGATACATTTTGGCAAAAGTTATTGGATTGTTTCTGCTACCTCAAATGCTGTGGTTCTGGTTGGCTTCCAAAGTCGTATCGGAAGAAGTACTTGCCATGGGAAGTGGGGAAATCATTCTGGAAATCCTCCGAAAAATTCCAGTTATTAGGAACATTGCGGTGGTTCAACGTACGGCAGAATATGGTGTCAGACGAGCTAACGACACATTGGAGAGGTTTGTTTACATAAGGGATTACGTGACGGGTGAAGTGTACTGCCGTATTCGAGCTGCGAGGGACGGCATTCATTATCATCTGGATTCATACGTGAATCTTCCAAGGGAGGTCGTATTTTTGTTGGTTCGTGATTATCTGATGAATGGACCTATGAACACAGCAAGGCGATGGATGCAGGTAAAAAGATGTGGGAAAAAAACATAACCTCGTTGATAATAATGCTTTCAAGGGAGGTGACTCGAGCCGTGAGCATTTCAATTTTTTTTTTCTCAGGTTATTATTTCTTGAACTTTCTGCATTTTCATTCAAACATTTTAAAAAGAAACATTGAATTGAAATACGAGTGGTGATCAAAATAAATCTTATTTCCAATTTATTGGTTCAAGGAATGATTTACAGTATGCGTTTTAATGGTGCAAAAATCTCACCTTTCACTGTTTGAGTGTCTTCACTGTAACCAGTAATGACAGCGGTCGTGGTTGCTGTTGCTGTTGATGGTTGGTGATGATGGTGAGGAGATGATGGTGTTAATAACGATGATGACGATGGTGGTGGTGGTGATGGTTAGAGGTGATCGTGGTGATGATGGTGGTGATGATGATGGTGGTGATGGGTGGAGGAGGTGGTGGTGGTGGAGGCGGTGTTGTTGAAGTTGTTGGCCGAATTTCTTCATAAACCTTTACATTAACATGACACATTTTAAAGTTTGCTTTGTTYGATTCGTTTCAATTCGTCGCTCGCTTGTAATCCAGTGGAACAAGAGACCATGAAGCAGGCCTCCTTATGGTCTCTTCAGTGGAATTAACTTTAAAATATAAAAGACAGTTGATTTTTGAAAACTGATCGAGCGCAATTACACCTTTTGCTGTTCATTAACAGAAAATGTACATTCATTTGAGCCAAAAGTTGTATCAATAACGTGTAATATACTTTCATCAACACCACAAGTAACATCATTAGCGCGGATCAACTTTCAATAACGATATTTGACTATGCGTGCACATTCATGGGCATCAATGGACAATCAATAGYGCGTTTGTACATTCATATGCGCGGAATGTATTTTCTTGTGCGCGAAATTCAACTTCAATAACACCAATTGACAAACAGTTGCGTTTATTGACAATCATTCGCCTAAAAGTGAAAATTCATTAGTGCTATTAGCATAATCATTGACAATCTATAACGCGTTTGGACAATCATGAGGGTCAACGTTATATTCTATAGCGTGGTTCGACAAACATTTGCGTGATTCGAATGAACAATAAGAGAAATAAAACAATCATTAGCGATGTTCTTTTTTATCACTTTAAAACATATAAAAAACTCAGGAAACTGCCTCCATAATAGCGGCTGCATAGGAGAATAGCAATTAGCTCACTTAAAGCAGCAATCAAAGCCGACATCAGCCGTCCAGAGATCCAACAACATACGAACGATCGGGCCTTAGGCAAGACGACAAGGGATTGCTCTAGGTCACTACAGAATGCAGTTGCAACTATCACTATCGCTAAATGTGGTCAGTGGTTCAGATATATGCAAAACGTATTTGCCACGATGTATAAATGGCGAAGAAATTGAAGGCTAAAATTAAAAAAGAACATCGCTAATGATTGTTTTATTTCTCTTATTGTTCATTCGAATCATGCAAATGTTTGTCGAACCACGCTATAGAATATAACGTTGACCCTCATGATTGTCCAAACGCGTTATAGATTGTCAATTATTATGCTAATAGCACTAATGAATTTTCACTTTTGGGTAAATGATTGTCCATAAATGCAATTGTTTGTCAATTGGTGTTATTGAAGTTGAATTTCGCGCACAAGAAAATACATTTCGCACAGATGAATGTACGAACGCGCTATTGATTGTCCATTGATGCCTATGAATGTACACGCATATCCAAATATCGTTATTGAAGTTGATCCGCGCTAATGATGTTACTTGTGGTGTTGATGAAAGTACATTACACGTTATTGATACAACTATTGGCACAAATGAATGTACATTTTCTGTTAATGAACAGCAAAAGGTGTATTTAGTTTCTGTTTCCAAAAACAACTTTTGTGTCATTACCAAAAATAGTATGTTAGGGTTTTCTTACTCACTTGTACTAATATAGTACTGATATATTTTCCAATTTTGTTTAGGCCAACCTAGATTTCCCATTCTTGTTACGAGAATCAGCGGGGATAGCAATGAACGAAGTGCATTCCGAAGCGCATCGCCATGCCACGTCGAACAGCATCAAGGTACACAAACCGTGTCTTGTACGATCTGAATCGGAGCCCAGTTCTTCGAAACGTCAAACCCATGCGAACAAATCCCGGCGACTCTCAACACTAGCTTTTAAGAACACAATAAAAGAACCTTTTCTTGGAGAAGACGCAGAAGAATAGAGGCTAGGATGGGGGTTGAGACCGATTTCTTTGCTTGCTAGTTAACGGTGTATTTGAACCCATTGCAAACAAGGTTGAACCAGCTTTGGTACCGATTGTAAAGTCCGCAATGTAAAAATAAAATTATAACAATAAAAAAGGTGTTATCAAATGGTAGCGAATTTAATGAGTTGACCTGGTTTTTGCTTGGGGGATACTGGATACTATCAGATRTCGATTTGCATGCCATGGCCATGGAATATCCCACGAGTAATTTTTATGGCATTGGCTAGTGGCGTATCGATATCAAAGGTTGTGGGCTGTGCAAAGCGTCCTGGCCTTTTTCCAAAAAGGGGTGGCTAGCTACACAATCCCCACCCTTATGGATCCGCACTTGGACCTTCAGCTAAGTGTGTATGTGTTTTCGTTATTGTTGTTGTTTTGGTTATGGTATGGGATAAATCAAAGAATTAAAAACCCGACCATGCCAAAGCTATAACATGACAAATCGCCACGCGGATCTTGGTGTACTAGATAGCATTTCTCTAATGTAACTGCTCTAATGCGTGTTGAACGTCGGTCTTCAAGCTGCTCCTGGCGAATAGGCGGAAAGTTAGGCACGAGGAGATTAATCAGCCACAATCAAGGGTAAGTAGACCCACTTCATAATGATCCTGGATGCATACGATAATAACAGGAAAAAAGGAAAAATAAATCACGTTTTTCTCTTTGGGTTTTGTTGCTATTTTTTTCTTGTTAGCCTTGTATGCATCTGAATAGTTTTGAAAGGGAATTGCATGAGACCAGACTGTGCGCTAAAATCACTTTTTCCAGTTTAGTTGTGTTGAAGTTCGAAAAACCATCATTATACTAGATGCTGCAACTAGATTGATAGCAAGAGAATATTCTCTTGATTGATAGTAAGTGTAAAAATACATCAGACTTGGTTGACATTTGAAGATGATTTTATTAGATTATTGTGTATAATGATTACAGTTGAAAAAGCGATGTGTCTACAAATGTCCAGGTTATTCATACCTAATGCATGTACGGCTTTCAAAACCTATTGTTCATTTTCGCTCAAAATATCCAAATTTCGTTAAGCCCCGTTTACACTAGCGATATTTGCTGCGATTTTTTTTACGATTTTGTCCATAATAAATAATGGTAAAGAATTTACTTGTAAATTTTTTTTAGGATACCAAGATTTTCCTAGACGAATGTCTCTTTTTAAGGATGAGATTTTATATTTCCGAAAATTGCCACAAAAATCGCAGCAAAAATCGCCAGTGTAAACGGGGCTTTAGTCTGCGCCATATAGAATGGTAACCTGGCCTCGGTCATAACCTCGCGGCTGAATCTAAAGTTGATAATGGAAACTCAGGACTTGTGCAGAAACTCGCAATTTGGATACTTGAGCACTTTTCGGCATTTTCTTGAAAATTCTAATTATTTTACTTAGTGATTTTAACGGTAGCCCTAAGCTTGGAAAGTTTGGAAAACTTCATTGTCACAACAATGGACTATAGACATTAGTGGCCCAAGGTTTCCCCAAATTAGTTTCAAAATGGAAAAGTTGGAAAAATCGATTACAAGCTGATTAAGCAAACGACGTTGCTTATAGGTAACGTCGCATAAGGAATACTTGTCAAACCTGAAAAAATGCCTTTTCCGGCCTTAAGTTGTGCGGAGACTGGCATATATATTGAAGGGAATTTTTCGAAATTGCCTTTTTAGGTACTTATCCTATCTAGCTGCTATTTATTTATGTTTTTGTTTAATTGCACATAGAAACTTTGAAAGCTCTTAATGAAGCAAGTTCAGTTTTAAAGTTTTAAGCAGTATACCTTTGCCTCTTTGAAAACTCGGAGAACTAACTAATCAGTTCACATAATAGCTAAATGTATGAATGTGGGTGGGTTAGTGATAATAGTAACCAACAGCGCAGTTTCGATTAGATAATTTATCTCTGCTAAACTAATAACTTAAAAATGTAAATTTTGTTTTTTAAATTGTTACCATTTAAAATGGATTAAAATTTCAAATGCATACGCCTACCTAAAAAGGTCAATACCTGAATTGCAGAAGCGTAATAATGTGCCATAAAACTTGGCATTGTTCGAGAGAGCTAAGCCAATTTGAAATGAAATCACGCCCTATGAATGCCATCTTGAAAAGGAAGCAGGCCTGATATAGCTTCCATGTGCCACAAGCATATTGTATTCTTTGATAGCTTTTTCTACTGCATAACTTGGGATCTTTTTTATTTTTGTTTTGTTCGTTTTTGTTGCTATTGAATAAAACTGTGTCCGGTACCCGAAAAAGGAGCCGACATCGGAGTGGTGGCTACCATTTTGAAAAATATACAGGCCTCATGACTGCCATATTTGAAAGGTAACCAGGCCTCTCATGAGTGCGATATTGAAAGGTAACCAGGCCTCACGAGAGCCATTTTGAAAGGTAACCAGGCCAGATGGTTTCCATTATAAAGTGGCTTCCGCTATCGTTTCAAGTTGCGTGCTATTTTTTTACAGACGTCAAACTAAGAAAACCTAACCTAAGTAAAATATGTCTATATTCATACAGAAAAAGCTAAAAAAAGCTATTCCTGGTTTGCTTATAGAATACATGTGCATAAAAGAGGTTTTTTCGAGTATGTAAACAAACTATCCATCTACTGTAGTTTGGTAATGACGATATTTTGTGTCTAGCAGCTCTCGCATGTGATTGGTTAAAAAACAATTCTCATTCCAGATGGCATATTTTAGGTGTTTGTTTTCTTAGTTTGACTGTAAATTCAAAATGGCAGATTTGCTGAATATGTACCTATAAATATACAATTAATTAAAAAAATATGACAATTCTTAAGGTAAATAATAATAACTAAATTAAACATTGAGTAGTTTTAAATATACCCTACCAAATTCCTTTTAAAATTGCTATAAAAACATTCACAGATTCCCGGCGGAAAACATTGAGTATACTGGTCAACGGGTGACTACATTTAGACCTCACGTGATCTTAGAATGATCACCTGACCATTAGTAATTACGCGCTGAAGGCTTTTCTAATACCTTCATTTAACAGCTAATTGTATCGACAATTAATAGAGAACTACTTTTCTTTTCGCTCTTCCTTTAGATCTTCACGTAGTCGTACCCATTCCTCTAGACTATCCTCGTCCTTTTCTGTAAAGTATGCCATGAGACTTTCTGCCAGCCCTCTGTCCTCAACTTCCTCCACATTTTCAAATGACTACTGATAAAGAAAACGTTTAATACGCTCATTTGCAAAGCGTTCTTGTTTATTGTTTTAGATTTATGAGAGTTTAAGGAGGAGTAGTTAGATGTATATGGTTCATAGATTGTATTCATATTTCTTATTTCTAGCATCTCGTTTTTTTGCCATGTATTCTCTTATATGGCTATTCTTTTTAATTTTTTTTACCTGTATAAGCTCAGTTATTTATTTTTACCCATCACTGTTATTTATTATTCATCGTTAAATCTCACCTCACCTCACCTCACCTCACCTCACCTCACCTCACCTCACCTCACCTCACCTCACCTCACCTCACCTCACCTCACCTCACCTCACCTCACCTCA